TGAAGCGCTCAGCCGCGCAGCTCAGGAGAGGTCGCAGTTCACCTTGTATGTTAATTAAAATGGTTCTGTAATCTCTTATGTCTGTGCTCCCATTGGGATTAGCAGTGTTTTATTTCACCATAAGGAGCAGATTGACTCCTGTCTGGTGAGACGGTGTAACACTGAAAGTGTATTTTATGTCCTGGGGCATGCTTTTTATTGATATTACAGTTACTATTCCTAATGGGCCAATGCGTCCAGCTGAGATGCCAAATGAGCTTGTAATAGCTGAGAAGTTTTCCTTTTTTTTTTTTTTTCTAAAACCACAATTATAATAAAAATGAATTTCTGAGCAGAAAAAAATGTACTTTTTATCAAATTAAAAAGCATGTCTCCCTACTGGAAAATAAATGAATGATCCAATCATACCTCAAACTAATTGTTCTGGAAATCTGGCTTTAATATGATGAATATGGACATGACATTTTTGATGATTTTGTTTGTTTTTATGGGGTGGTGCAGCGTATTGCTGATTTCCAACTATATTCTGCCGAATCTGTTATAAAATCAGTCATGTACTGTGTGTTCTTGCTGTGTGTGAGTGCTGTCTGACTGGGCAAGTTCAGTGGTCAGAGTCATGAATAATGCTACACATTTTGTCACAGCATCAGCTAGTTCAAAAATACAAGCTGCTGATATAAGGAGTAAAAAATCCTATTAGATGACAGTAAAAGTAAGATTTGAGCACTGCAGAACCGCTTGCTCACAGGTAAAACCTGCATGTCAGTCAACTTTGGAGCTTCCTACATCATGCAGCTAATTCAAACTACTTTCTGACAGTTTATAACCATAGGCGGATTTCCTAATAAACTTAAATGTCTGGAAGATTTCAGACAGAAAAGTGAAAGACATAAGAATTATTTAAATGTAAAGACAAGCATAGGGGTTATGAACGCAGATGAAAAAGTCACAATTTGCAAAGACCTAAGTCAAAACCAGGAAGGAAAAAGGCAATTTTAAGACTTGAAAAACAAGTAGAAAAAAAATTACCAACATTAACAAGATGCATAATAACCAAAAAAAATAAAAAAACACTACAGGGTAGGGCTGGGTACCGAACTTCGGTTCTTTTATGGTACCGACCGAAATGCTTCGGTTCTACAGAGTATCGAAACATGCCTCGTCTTTCTGGTACCAAGTTTCGGTGATTGGCTGTAACACTTAACGTGATTGCGTCATCCAGGAAAAATACACAGGTGGTCACGCCTACAGCCAGGGTTCATGTGTATCTGTTGTGAACTGGTTGCGAGCGTCGTGGAACCCCTTTAAAATGCCCCCCAGGTCAAAAGTGTGGCTTCACTTTATTAAGACTGATGCCAATAGTGCGCAATGCAATACATTGTTCACGGAAACAATTTAAGAGCAGAAAGTTGCTCGGTGTTTGACTGCAAGAAGAGCGGACCGCAGCCGGCGCGACCATCCTCCTCTCAGCAGCCCGTGGGCAGAGCAAAGCCAGAGCGGAGTGAATCATGCCGCTTTCAAACTGGACGCAGCAGGAGCAGCAAAATCACGTCTGCTGCTTCCTTTTTGCTGCTTGTACCAGTTAGTTCTGACGCGCGGCTGAAGCAGCTTTGCTGCTCTGGCTGCGCGGTCGAAAAGTGGCTCTGACGCGCGTTGGGCGGAGCTACTCTATCCTTTATTTGCCTTGCAGCTATATTTGCTGTGATCAGTGGGAATAAAGTAGTTTTATTATGTTTTTAAGTGGGAAAATCCACCTAAAAACTTAATCAGTGCAGTCAGTTCATCCTGCCTTCCAATATTTCTGTGGGAGCCGCTCAGACCCCCACATACCAGCGGTGCGCTGTCAGTAGGATCCCATTCAACGGACTTGTTTGTCAGACATGGTAATTTTTCTAAAGGAAAACTGCTAAGTAAAAAGGTCCTCACAATGTAACAGTGAATATTAGACACTGATTTTTTTTTTTTTATGTAAGAGGAAAAATGTAAATGGAAAAATCAGAGCTTAAAATAAATCTCAAGATTTGTACTTTTTTATGTTGTGTAATTTTCTTTTTCTTCGAACTGATATTATAAAACTGGTATCGAAAAAAGTATCATTCAGGAACCGGTATCGTAGTGAAGGTATCGGTATTGGTACCGGAACCGAAAATGTTTGAACAATACCCAGCCCTACTACAGGGTCAAACAACTCAGCAATCAGGACTCAAAAGTCTGAACAATTTATTCTTTAGTTTGTGCAATTTTATCTTTACTAAAAGCTAAAAAATGCTTATGTTATGGTTCTACTCTTCTGGGAATTTTTTGTTTTTGTTTTTCAGTTATTCTGTTTTGTTTAACTTCAGTTTATTTTCCAGTTTATGTACTGTAAGTTTAAGCAGTCTTCGGTTGCCCTCCCTAGCTCCCTTCTGGTCTCTTCCATCCACACCTGCTCCATGAATGCTGATTAGCCTGGTCTAAGTTTAGTCTCCCATTTATACACCTCATGTTCAGTCATGCTGGTTCCTTGTTGCTTCCTCAGCTCTGGCTCCCCCGTTTGAGTTTTTCCCTGACGTTTGCTGATTTTTGGTGCTTGTATTTTGTATTTGGATTTTTGGATTTTGCTTTATCAAACTAACAAGAACTCATCTCGGCCTAAATCATCTCTGCATTCGGTTCCTCAAGCAACCTCACCCCTCATGTAGACAGCTTGTACAATTAAGATTATTAAAACGGTGATTCTACGCTGTTTCATAGCATCCCTAAGGAGGAACCAGATTAATTGCAGGGGTGGGATGGTAGAAAGGAATTAAATAAATTACCTTTTTTTGACAAGTATTTAAAAATAAAATTTTTGGTGTAAACCAAAGAGGAAGCAGGAGTTAAATCACTGCACTCACCTGCCTCCCATCACTGTGACATACTCTTGAAGCTACATAGACATTTGGTGCACCCTGCTACTATTAATGCTGATGATTATATCCTATTTAGAGATTGATGATTGTTCTGAGCCTAAAGCTCCACAAACCGTATCTGGAATCTTTAAAGCTACAGCGTGTAACTTTTAGCGACATCTAGCGGTCAGGCTGCAGACTGCAGCAACATGAACATCTCCCCCCCACCGCTTCTCCCCCCCAACAGTACGGCGAGCGTTACGGGACAAAATGTCTTCCACGACGTCCGCATCACCTACCTTCTCAAGTGATGAGGTTTGTTCACATAGATAATTTTACAGATAGTATTTCATTAGTCTGTATATGGTATAGATTTCATGTAGACTTAAGATAATAAATATACCCGTTATTTTTTCTACATCGTTGTGACGTTTTGGCGATCTCGCAATCGCTAGTTTGTTGGCTCTGCGCTGCCGTAGCGCAAAGATGTCTGCCTCCATGTCTGCCTCCATGGCCGCTCCCATGTAATTATAAATAACGAATTCTAAGGCAACGCAAATATTAAGGTTAAGAGGCTGAGCTCGTAGATGATGATAAATAACATAGTTATGTATAATATATTACATTTCTGACCGTATATCCCTGTAATTATTACACACTGTAGCTTTAAAGCAGTATTACAGCAAAGCTCCAAGATCAGATTGATTCATGCAGCTAATTACATCCGAACTATGGAAGCTGATTTATATGATCCTTTAATGATGGATGTCCTTCTTTGTGAGGCCATTTGTCACCCATGGCTTCAGAACTCATACCAGCAGCTGGCAGAATTTCTAATGAGCTTCAGTCAGGGCTGTTCATTTCTTGGTCCTGTTTTCTTAAGTATGCTCTGCTCTGTTGCTTAGTTCTTCTTTTACTTTCATCAAATTCAGAGCCTAATTTTTTGCTCTGGGCAGTTTGACTCAGCATGCTTGCTCTTTTTAGCAATGCACTGCCGCTCGGGATGCCCTCCCAAAAAAAGTAACCTCACCATCCAAGAGGCCAAGCGGGAGCTGGAATCAGTTTGGGTTTTCCTCATTTCCCTTCATTTCTCAGATCTTTGAGTCAGATGAGATGTTGAAGTAAAATGAAGAAAAGGCAAGGGTTTCCTGCCAGAATGGAAAACAGAGAGTTGGAGCCTAATTTCAGGAGTATTTTTGGCAGGTGGCTGGTGTTAACGTGCACACTTGGCTCGTGCTGCTCCACACACTTGCAAAGCCTCTTCCTAATTATGTCTCCTTGCAGAATGGAGCCCCCAGCTTATGATGCTCTGTGTCTGCAAGTAGGGAAGGAAGATCTTTCCGTTCTTTCTGTCATCTCAAGCAGAATGGAAAAATAAAACAGGGTGCGATGTGAAACCCTGCTGAGACCAGAGAATAATGATTCAACTCTGATCTGTTTCAGCCCTGTTTTATACATCAGGGAGCATGTCAAGGTGTTTTAGCCTCTTTCTGGCCTGGTCTGCAGTTTTGTGCATAATTAGTTCCAGTTTTGCCATCTCTGTCGCTTTGTTAAGTGTTATTACAGCTTTGTAAGCAGACACATCCCTTTACCCTGGGTAAATACACAGTGATGCAGAACAATTAGTGGAGACTGCTGGGGGATCGGTCACCCCAAGTGTATCAGGCCTGGTGTTCCTTCCTCATAAAGGGCAGACTCTGACCCAAATCTGTCTTTACATAAGTCTCTGCATGATAGAGATGTTGCTCAAATTATTCAGATATCATATTGCAGTGAGTGATGATGATGTGCTGCAAAGCTAGGGCATGATTAAAGGCAGCAGGAGTGTGAGGAGAGGAGATAAACCTTTACAAGACTTCCTAATTGATCTCAGATGAAGGCTGTGTAATTGCGCTGGCAGACAGCAGCCATGCAGGAATCTCTAACTGGGGCAAAATAAAGTGGCCATAGGTGAGGAGGACTGTGATGTAATACTGATCCACGGTGATGTCTGTGGGTAATACAGGTGCGCAACTGTCTGATCCAGAAGGAAACATCTGCTTTTCAGGTGACTGAGACACACCTGCGCATCTTCTGATAACAAAACACTGTAGGAAAAAAGAAAAACAAGCACGGTCTGATGATACTTACATGCCATATTGCGAAGAAGATAAGGGAAACACAGAGGACCAGAGACAGCATGTAGCAGAAAGCAGCAAAAGTAAACATAATTGAAGGGGAAATCGGGTGGAGAATTTCCCGAGGAAGCACGACCCCAATGATGAACATCTAAAACCAAAAGCCAGGAGGGGAGAAAGAGGGGAGGTAAAGTTCTCACGGCGCCGTGGACACCATGACTTCGCGCCCCACAGTGTTCAACCCGATCCGGGCGTAAAGACTTCTCCAGACGGCCAGCTGCGCCTCCACTGATTCCCAAAATGCGCTCAGATCAGCCCCCTCAGCATCATAGATTGTGAGCGTCCGCAGTCCTGGCGAGGTGAACATGGAGTCACTGACAGGGACGGTTGATAGAGGGGGGGAGCATCCGTGCAAAAGCATCTGCGAAATGAGGCGAGGGAGCGGATAATCCCTTCATTGAGCAGCGGCTGAGGGCGGCCAGCCGAAGCCTGCGCTGAGCTGCAGCGGTGTCATATGAGGCTACTCCGCGGCACTCTGTGCGTAAAAGGCTCAGCTCTCTCTCTTTCGATTTTGCTCACGCGCGCGCAGCCATGACCAGCAGCGGCAGGGAGCGAAGCGCGCGGGCAGAGCTGTGAACAGGTGGAGATGAAAGAGAAGCACGCGCTCCGCGCGCGCGTTGGAGCGTGCGGGAGAGCTTTTTGAAACCTGCAATTAAGAAGCTGATTTTGTGTGTGTGGATGTGTATTTCCCCCCTGGGTAATGACTTGCAGGCCTGCGCCTTAATGCCGTCGCGTCATTTGATCTCAGGGATTGAAAGCAATTAAGTTAATAAAATTCAGAAGACGAGCTGACAGATTGCTCATCAACATTTACATCCAGGTGCTAGCTTTAAACTAAACTGCACATTAACATATATTTAATAAACGACCAAATAAACACAGAATATGGAAAGAAATAATATATATTTTACCAAAATTATCAGTTGTATTGATTAAAAACATCATTGTACATTCATTTTCAGCAGAATGTTTGAAATATGTATCAGCAGCACATTGCTGAGAAAAAGCATGTGCTATCAGTGCCTCCATCTGGCAATTCTGTAAATTACATCTATTATAAGGCAGAGCTTCAAAATGGATAATCCGTCATAAACACTGATAGGCATACCAATATGTCCATTGTGGGCAAATTACAGTTTGTGTAGTTCCAGACTAAAACTATTTTTGTATTCTGTCCCTTTGTCTCAGAAACACTTTTATTTTATCCAGCATATTTAGCAGCTCATCTGTTTGGATCAATCTATAAAGTCATCAGCCAGTCACCGGTTCACCACTTCACACTGATTCTATTATCTACCCATTAAATATGGGCAAAATCTAGACAAATAATACAATTAATGGGAAATGTGAGACCTTACTGATTGGGTGATGGCACAGTTTGGCTTTTAAACCAGAAGTCTTTCTGCTTATATTTGCTCATTCAACATTTAAATAGAAAAAGCAAAATTACTTCAAGTTTGTTGTGTTTCTGTAAATGTTGATGTCTTTATTTGTATTTGCATGTTGTGTTTAAAACAGTAATGATGAGATTTGGACTTCAGGGCCACCGTACTTTAGCCTAGGTGCCATTCCGAACTTAGTCCCGCCCACAAAGTTTGAGTTCGGGGAAGTTCGGTCTGGCTCTGCTCCATAGTAGCGCGAGTATTATCACCCACTGTCAGGCGATCCAATCAAATTGTCAGGGCGGGCTTTATACGATGATGGACAGATGATCAACGGTAACGTAATCAACCACGTGACCAAAGCGCGCTTGGGTGACAACAATAATGGCTGCCGCTGGAGAGTTTGGGTGAGTAGATTCTGCTATTAGGTCTGTTCTAGAAGATATCAACAGCAAATTAATTTTAAAAGAGGAACAGAGAAACGCGATCAAGTCTCATCTTCTTATTCTAGGCGTGCAACTGTACGCTTCGATTTTTGTGGACAACAACTATGCCTCGCTTAACATACGTCACGCACTCCGTTGCTCTTATTGGTTGTAGGTCTATCCAATTGAGTGCAGAGGCATTTTTTTTCCTGGTTCGTTCGAAACACGCCCCATAATCACAGCTCTATGGAGCAGCATCAGACTCATATTCTGACTAGAATTGAGTAGGACTACGTCAGGCTAACCGTACTTAGGTGATTGTTTGAAATTGGGGCCCTAAATGAAATGTTATTTGGATGAAGCTATAAAGACTCCCCATTCATCAGGGGCGGACCTGTTCGTCTGTTTAAACTTGCATGTTTTCTAGGCCAAAACAAGGCTTTGTTTTTTGTCCACTCCATAAAGTCTTGAACTCTGTGCTTTTTTTGACATTTTCGAATTTAAAAACTTTAACTGAACACTAAATGGCCCTAAGCCAGGACTCTAGCTCTGACATCCTCATTTCTAAAGCTAGTACAAAATTACTACTCTTATGAAATCTGACATTATCGCATAAAAAGGCTGACGAATAACTGAACATATGACAGAGAGAGCAGGAGAGAGGAGGGTGAGATTTGGAGAGAGTTTAAAAAGCTTCAGGAGAGACAAGAGAAGCCATAGTAGTGCTAAGATAGCTCTTGAAGAGGCTAGCCACCCCTTACCAGCAGAAATAAAAGCCGTGTGAACACGAAAGATGTCCAGTAGAGAAGTGAAGTAGTAAGGTGTATCTGTTGTTTGAAATGTAAGAAAAGGAAAACTAAAGTGAGATTCCTTGTTTGTGCACAGAAACCTGTTAAAGTTGATTATTTAATGGCCAGGTTTTTATTTCACTCCATCTGTAATTAATCAATATAACACACAACTTCCATTTTCTGAAATAAGTAACAATAAGGAACCTTTTAATAATAGCTTTTTTTTTTAATAAACACGCAGACTTAGTACCTTGCCTTGCCCATATTCAGATAACACCCAATAGGCAGAGCTACAGTAAGAGGCAAACATAGCATTTCTGCTCAATTTAAAGGACAAATTACCGCTTTTAATCACTTGCATATCCCTTAAAAATGAAGCCCCAATCCGTCAGTGAGGTCTAGGAGCACAAGATTTATTTCCAGCCGTTCAGCAAATATACTGTACTGCCACATGGATGATATGTTACCTACTGTAAGTTAAGTCGAAAAGCATTTGATAAGTTAGGGTAAAATGGCAAAAAGCTATTTGAAAAGTTAAAAAGTAAAGTTCAAACGTGAAAAAGTTCAGTTACAACGTAAGAAAATGTACGTGCCTGAATCAGCATTAATGGCATTTTATGTTGTAACAAAAACTTTGTTTTCTATCACTTTCTTATAGAAACACTGTCATTTCTTAAACATATTAAAGTAACAATTTCTTGTTATTACATTGACCTTGATTTCTGTTATCAACATTCACATATTTTCAAATGTCAAATAATATTACAAAAAGTAAAAAGGTCTTGTCCTGTCCTTTACTAACACTCAGAAGGGCTGGTCAGGAAATTGTTATCTGAAGGAAGCTTAGTTTGCTTTTTAAACTGAACCTATTCAATTCAATTCAGTTTATTTATATAGCGCCAATTCACAACACATGTCATCTGAAGGCACAGTACAGTCAACCTATTACCACTGCAACTCACTCTCTGCTCATAGAAAGATTGATGGGTGGAAGCTAACATTACACTGATATGGTAAAAGAGTTCTGTTGTGTGAAAACACATTTGACTTTTACAATCTCAGCTTTAAAATCCTGATCACTAGGGTTTTTTATAAATAGAAAAAATGCTTAGATACACTAAATAATAATAGCAAAACCATGGATGGATCTCTATCTTTCAGGAGCTTTGACCTGTGATTCCTCTGCATTTCTGTCATGATGGGTTCACTAAAAGCGACCCAAGAATGCAGAACACCACTGACGGACACAAGGATGAAAGTTTAACAGTTTATTTATGCACAAGCACACAGAATATACTGGTTCAGGTTCGGGGCCTGGATTCTGGTTCACCGGAGTCTGCGTGAGAGACAGTTCAGTTAGCGTTGCTAACAGAGGTTTGATTTCCTGAAGTTTACTGATTGTACCTTGAGGGTTCTTGAGGTTAGCTTTGGGAAAGTCACTGTTGGTTCTGGAGAGGAGTTCATCAGCAGAGTCCGTTTGCTGCTTCAGCGTCTCACGTCTAATTTTAACAGACCTTGGCTTTGGGTTTCCCAGCTCTAGTCCAGAGCTGCTTGGAGGTTCTCTGTGAATCTTCAGGTTTGGCTCTGAGGGTCGGCTCGGCAGGTTAGCTCTTCCTGAGCTTTCACAGAGGAGGCACAGGTTTCCTGGAAAACAGAAACAGGGGTTAGAATCCAAGCTTGATTCAAAAGTCATTGAATTACTCTGAGGATCTAGGCTTAAGCGCTGACCAACTGGAACAACGCTGCGGCGTTGAGGCAAGGTCTGAAGACAGCTTAAGTAGTGGATCCTCTGATGATCTTGATGAGCTGCAGCTGTGCAGGAGGCTCCCTCAGAGGATCCACGGCGGACTCTGCTGGAGAAAGGTGGAATTTCTCCAGCTCCCAACAGTACCCCCCTCTCAACGACCGCCCCTTGGCGGTCCGGAAGAGGTTGATGGGCAGGAACGCTCGTACTCCTCGATAAGGGCTGGATCGAGGATGTACGAGCCTGGAACCCACTGGCGATCCTCCGGTCCGTAGCCCTCCCAGTCGACAAGGTACTGCCATCCACGACCTCGTCGACGGGAGTCCACGATGCGGCGAACCGTGAAGGCCGGATGACCATCGACCTCCAGGGCGGGTGGTGGGGAGTCGGACGGGGGGCACAGAGGGCTCGAGGAGACAGGCTTGATCTGAGACACGTGGAAGGTAGGGTGGATTCGGAGGGACTGAGGTAATTGGAGACGGACGGCTGAGGGGTTGATGACTCGAGTGATCTTGTAGGGTCCGATGAATCTAGGAGAGAGTTTTCGAGACATCCCCTTGAGGGGGATGTCTCGAGTGGACAGCCATACCTCCTGGCCTTCGGTGTACTCGGGGGCGGGACGTCTCCTGGCGTCGGCGAAGCGTTTCATTGACTCTGATGACTGGTTGAGGGTGGCGATGGTTTCCCTCCAGATCCTTTGACAACGGCGGATGTGTTGGTTGACGGACTGCACCGAAATCTCTCTCTCGTCTGTGGGAAAAAGAGGTGGTTGATACCCGAGACTGACCTGAAATGGGGATTGTCCAGTGGATGCAGATTTGAGGGAGTTATGGGCGTATTCTATCCATGGGAGAAATTGGCTCCAGTCCACGGGGTTGTTTGACGTGAGGCAGCGAAGGGTGGATTCCAGTTGCTGATTCATACGCTCAGTCTGACCATTCGATTGGGGGTGGTAACCAGAGGTGAGAGAGGGTTTGCAGCCGAGAGCAGAACAGAAAGCCTTCCAGACCTGGGAGATGAACTGAGGACCTCTATCCGAGAGGATCTCTTGGGGAATGCCGTGTAACCGGAAAACATGCTTGATGAGAAGCTGGGCTGTCTGGAAAGCCGTGGGAAGTTTTCTGAGGGGAATAAGATGGCAGGACTTCGAGAAACGGTCAACAATAGTGAATATGGTGGACATACCTCGAGAGACAGGGAGACCGGTGACGAAATCAATGGCGATATGGGACCAAGGACGCGAGGGAACAGGGAGTGGTTGAAGCAGGCCAGAAGGAGGTTGGTGTGAGGCTTTGTTACGGGCACATGTGGAGCAAGCCAACACAT